AACAGAAGAATCAGCCCATTCACTAAATTCATACTGTGGGAACGCTGACTTTAATGGACTAGTTGGCGGAAAGACGTCAAAGAATAAAAAGCTGCATATAATTTATTGTACCAATTTAAAAATGTACCATATTAAGGCAACACAGAAGTTGCTCATTTTTATGTCTTTCCATTAAAGGCTCATGCACACTATTCTTGAACCAGCAACTCGTTAAAAACTCCAGGGAAGGAACAAAGCGGAACAGTAAATATTAAGCACATGATTTTCAGCAAGTTCTGTTAGTTAACTCTGTTTTAAGTTTTCCATCAGGAAAGAATTGTAACTAATACCACCGCTAAGGAGGAGGTTGCATTCTTGGTAGCAACTTGTAGGAGAGCCAGACAAACACAAAGGTCTGCCTAAACGGAGAACCTAAGACTCCAAAGTAAACCTAAAATAGTCATCCAGAAAAGCTGTATTTTATTTTCCCAATGTCCAAACATTATTCAGATTGGTAAGTCAGACACTTGAAATGTAGGAAGTGGCAGATTTAAGAGGTTTTATACGATTTTAATTCAGCTCCTATGAGTCCATTCTGTACAACAAATAAAGATCTGTGAAGAAAGCAAGCAAATACGCAGGAGCGTGGATTTAGACCACCAAGTACTTCCCAATGGCTGAAACCAGAAACTTCTCAGCAGACACATCTGTAGCGCCAGGGGATTTTTACCTGCTTAGCATCCATGACCTGCTTTACGGAAGAGATCATAATACACCTTTTACAGTGAAAAGCATGAAGGCAAACTAAAACTAAATTACTGGTAGTTTTTCCTTTTACTATCACTTGTGCATATATTACTTATCTCCTACCACTCCTAAATTGTGTAAGGCCTCAGTGGCTTTACCCGCCAAATACTCGAGACTTGCTCTGGCTGTTACTATGGCTCATGCCAGGGAGGTCACAGGCAGTGAGCTGGGATTCACTGTCAGCTCACTTCGGATTATGAAAGGCTGATTTTTAATCAGGGTTTGTAAATGCACAGAGCAGAATTGCTCCCACTTAATAGTTAAGCAAGCATTAAGGGGGAATATTAAGAAAATCAACATTATGAGAGGAAGAACAAACAGTCCAGAAAAGCAGAATATTACACCCCCAGCAGCCAGCTCTGCTTTGACCACATGCTTTCATGTTCATTTTTTGGATGGCACAGCAGGTTTAAGCAATCTCACCTTTTAGTGCAACAGTCTGCTGTGCCCCCAAAATCAATCCCTCCTTGTGCCAGAATTGTTTTGTGGTGCCATGCTACGAATCACTCCAGGGAATTAACTTGGCTGAAAAAATAAACACTTCTTTATTTTTATTTTCTTCACTTCTTGAAAAACTGCTGTGCTGTTTTTCAGACAGATTAGTTCCTGATTAAACCCGCAGCAGACTCAAATACACGCTGGAAGGGATAGTGAAAGGGCAAGAGGATCTTGCATCAGTACTGCTGACAGAGACACAGCAATTTTGCAGTCAGTAGCATTAGTATTGCGCAAACTTTATTCCTCGCCCCCCCACAAATTACCTTGTGTTCTTCACAGAAACAGATGAAAAAGTTAACTGGACTGAAAAAATAAACCCAGTAAAGTAGCATTGCTCATTTACTCAGCCATGCCTTAAGAACTACACACAGAACCACAGAAAGAGAGATTAACATACACAATTGGGTAAGGGTGGAGAAAGAAAGCAAAAGAGCAAACCAGGAAGATGTGAAACAGATGAATGGAGGAAGAGAGCAACCAAACTGAAAGGGGAAAGGAAGAAAAGCAAAACAATGACAAAGAAAGGAGTACAAAGTGCTGAGAAAAGCAAAGCATAAGAAAATTAAGACAAACAGGAGAGCAATAAAGCAGTGCTGTTAAAAGACCAGATATGGTATCACGCCTTCATCTTTCTCAGATTAGAAAGCCAGTAATTGACCAATTCTCAAGCCAAAGACCTGGGCTTCTGATTTTGGGGATTAAAAGACGATTGTTCCTCAGAAGATCCAACTCGCTTTGGCAGACTGAAAGATCTTCCTTTGGGAGCTGTAGTCAGCAGTACCTGGACTAATTTGGAACAGCTTCTGTAAAGCAAAGCACTATTCACACATTCCTCACCAGAGAGAAAGCATATGTGGAAAAAAACCCACAAACTATACTTATACACACTGATTCAAATTTCCCTTAAACATACCAAAAATACCCTTTGTCTTCCTTGGAGATACTGGTTCCTTCCTACGGGCAAGGTTTCATGACAAGGTGAATCCATCAGGCATCTGTAGCTGAAAGGAGGCAAGCTACCCCAGCCCCATCACCTCCATGGTTGTTGGCTGCTTTTCCTACGACCGTGCATTCTCCTACCACCTTCTCTTTTCATGTTTTTCTCCTTCTCTTTCACTATAGT